TCCATTCACATCATCTTCATGTCATCAAATTAACAATCATCACCAAAATATCATTAAGTCACACACCATCAAAACATCACTTAATCAGTCATCATGCAATGTTACATAGAATGTAATGCAACATTATTGACTCATGCATGTAATACCAAAACTTCACTGATGACCAAGTCATCTTCCTCCAAATATCCTCACCATAGGATTGATTCTCGCTTGGAACCCGAGCACTTCATAATATTTCACTCAATCCACACTATGGATTGAGGCCATCACTGAATGAACATCCTATCAACATCACTGGACCAATCGTCCTAACAATATCATTGGACCATTGTCCTAACATATTCCATAAATACATATAATGCACAATAACACAATAAAAACATGATCGATACTAGTCAAAACGCATCATCATTCATTTAATCATCATAATATCATCACAAACTTCATAATACATACATCATCATCCTAACAACATCGTTTTATCATAGGAAACATACATCATATTACATCAACGCATAATCACCTCAATTCATCATAGCACAATCACTGGAAAAATACCTCATATGATTCATTTTATTTTACAAAATCATGGTTTATCGTGTTAGCTTCCTAACGCTTCGAACGACGTGTCAAACGGAGTCCGAAAACTCCAGTTACAGCCTCTACAAAATCTATCAGTTGCCCCTCGCCTGAGGCTCGCCTGGAAAAATAGCAATGCTCGTCTGAGGCTCGCACAGTGAAATTGGGCGACCTATCTTCCCCATACAAAATTTCAGGAGCACCTATTTTCCTTCACCTTTTTCACACGGAGAGCTCACGCTCGCCTCTGCTTCACCTGGCGAAGCCAGAGCGAGACGCATCCTTCATACATTTTCCAGAGACTTGCCAAAAACTCATCCCTCACTCTCTCCTGGCGATATCTGGGTGAAGTTGTTTCACCCGGTGACTTGGGAGGCTCGTCCGTCGAGTGCGCGAAAATAACAACTCTGTTGTTGCGTTTTTTGCATAAAACCAAACCAATTTTCTTGGGATTTTACATCAGGACAGATCTCAATTTATCACAAATTCTCATGTTTTCGTTATACAATAACAACACATCTTGATGGGCATCATATGCATGAATTCATGGTAAAACAACATCACAATTGCATCAATTTCCAACAAAATCATCATATTATCATTATTAAACAAAACTCCACATATAAACCTACAAATACCTAAAGTCATGCAAATCATAATGATAATAATAACCCCCCTTACCTTGGATTTCCTAGTGATGATCTTTCCTTCTTTGCATTCTACAGAATCCCTCTGAGTTCATGTGCCCTAGCTCTCGTTCACTGCTTCTTCCTAACTTTCACGATTTCACAGAATGAAAACACTGAAACTCTCTTTTTTCTTTTGTCAAACTTACCCCTTGGACTCCTAATATGGTCTTCCACTTTTGCCCTCACTTAACCTCTTACAACTTACTACCTTACCCTTATAGTTTCTACATCATATTATTATATCTATTTCCCCAATTAAAATAATTCTAAATAATTACTCTAATTATCTAAAATGCCCAATGTCTCCTTATTTCCCACTATACCACATATAACATCAAATCACACATCATATTCATCAAAACATCAGATAAACTCACAAATAAGTCACAATACTCACAATTAAATAATAAAATAAATAATCTAATTATTTTGGGGTGTTACAGAGTGCCTCGGGTATACTGATTATATAGTGATCTGATAATTGTATTGTGATCGAAATATGTAAGAGAAATAATACATCAACAAGTCTGATAGTCATCTCACTGATCGAAAGATGAAATGATGATCTCTATGTGTATCATCTCTCAACAAACACAAACAATAAACCATGTTTAATATAAAAATATTCAATTCTGTAGAGATCCTTCAGCCTGGATAGTTCCAAGACATCTTGAAACCATGGTTCATCATACTACGATAACTTTGGTACCTTTCTTCCATGGTTGATACATTTCAACATCTCATTGTACTTAAAAAATAAATACATTATCATCAGACAGTTTAATCGTTATAACATAGATGTTTAACACACCTTGTTTAATTATTTGTGTTACCTCTCCCTCTCATACATGTCTAGCAACATGGTTTGTATATGGAGGAAGTAGTGAAAGGTTTGAGGGAGAATCCCATAAAACTCTCGAGTATGACCTATCAAGTTCAACATCAGGTATAAAATGTACTAAAGCTGTGGGGATTTTGTTATGAGTAAGAGATAAATAACCTCTGGAAAATGATCTCTCAGTAGGAAACGACGATTCTACAACTGTGGGTCACGAGGGTTTAGCTTTCTCTCTATGAGATGGGTCATGTTGGGTCACTCTACCATCTCTTAATTTTTGTTGGTTGTCATCCATTTTTCCTATAATCAGACAAGAAATACATATCATATTCAAAGAAGCGGAAACAATGTATTAGCAAACTAAATTTCAAAATTGAATACAAAACAAAAAAAAAATAGATTTAATTATATAGACTGCACAAAATCAGAAACAGCGCATGCATTACGAACCCTAAGCTCAAAAGTTTAAAATTTCAAACCAAACATATTTAGGACAAAACAAATACAACATTTATATTGCTTGTAATGTAATGTAGTATAATTATAAACTATTTATGAAATGCATAAATCACAAATAAAAAAATTAAATGAGAAACTTACAAATGTGAGAAATTAATGATCTTGACTTGAATGTAGTAGATTAAAATTTGGCAAATGTTTTAAGCTTGAATATAATGGAGTAGAAGTTGAGAGAAAGATTTTAAAAAAATGTTGGAATAGGAGTAGGTTCATGAACTCTGTTTTTACTTGTTAACTTTGCTAAGATGAAAGGGAAAGAAAGGGGAAAGACAAAATGCGAATACTTAAATGAACGCGTCAAGATTTCAATTTTTGTAAGATAAATTTGAATTTTTTAATCCATATTTTTTTAACTTTGTTTTCGCTTGGTTTTGAGATGGTCTAATGTGGTGTGTTGGAGTGCGTTCGGATTTTAAAATCCGATTTTTTTAACCTTTTATTTGACATGTTTCAGAAAGAGTTTGTTGTGTACTTAATTTGTCTAGAGATAAAAATCCAGATTCTAAAGGTATTTTTAAATTTTCAATAAGATGTGTGAGTCCAGAGATTGAATAATGCTCTTTGAAATTCTCGTGGATGCCTTAGACACGTTTGTGTTATACCATAATTTTGTTATATTCCATTTTATTTCTTTGGTAAAAGATTCTCTAATTTTTAGGAGAGAAAGTTAGAGTAACTTTAGCCAAAATGTGGATGAAATAAAGAAGATGTTTGTATTGATTTTGGAGGAAAGAAGATACGAGAGAAAGTAAGTCAAGAGAGATAGCTAAAAAATTAGAGAAAGATAGAGAAATGGAAGTTTGAGGATCCACGTTCCTTTTTCTTTACGTTTTGTTATTTAGTTGTTTTTGTCCAATAAAGAGATGGCAATTTCTTTTCCCACCTTTATGGTGTGGCTCACACCTCTGAATACTTAAAATTACCCTCAAATTTTTTCAGAGATGCATTTACGCACCTTATATCACTCCATCCTTCGTAAATCAAGTAACTACCACATTTTTGCTAAAAAATTAATTCGGAGATTCATCTTTGAATTAATTTTTTTTGTGCATTTTTAACTATTTTAACGCAGTCGTCCCTTTTTTGTCAAAAACTAATTTGGAAATGCATCTCCGAGAAACATTTGAGTCTACTTTTAACTATTTTAACGCAATCACTCCATTTTTGTCAAAAATTAATTCGGAGATGCAGCTTCGAAAATATTCCCGAGCGAATTTTTAGTTATTTAAACGTCTATATTTCGTATATTATAGTATTTTCAGAGATACATTATCAAATATATCCCATAAATTTTCGCTCACCCATTTACATTTATTTTGTGTAAAAATAATGTGTCAAAATATGCATCTTCGAAAAGTTTGAAGATATTTTTTAGTTTTAAAAAAAAAAATTGAAAAAATCCAGAAGAGTGGAAAAAGAAATTGCCTAAAGAGATATTCTATAGACAAAAAGTTAGTAGGAAAATCCACCAACCTAAATCATTGAAAATAAAGTTAAGTTTAAATACATATGGAGTTCAAAGAAACTAACCCAAGTTTTACACGCTCAGCAGATAAAATACCTAGAGGCTAGAGCACATGAGAGACATTGGGAACAAAGTTAAACTAATCCCAACCACATTACAACAATGACGTAAAGAACTAGAAAATGCTTCCAAGTCCTTTAGAAAATTTAAGAAACAACAACTTCTAGAGCTCATTCTTGAATCTTGATTCTCTAAATTTCCTAAATCCCTAAAATTTCTGCACATACATACAGGCAAATCTCAAACGTGATGTGTTTTCAGCTTTATCACACCCACAAAATCTGACTCCAAAATTACACTCGACACAATTTTTCCAGCAAATATGACACACAACTACACATGTCACATGTGTATCAAGCTTCAGGTGAATCCATGATGACCGGATGAACCTATTTCAGAGATTCTGGATCCATCATTCTTGTTCAGGCTCTTGAAGTGACAGTTTGGTATTAGACAAACCATACAGGTGCCATTCTTAGCTAAACAAACATTTTAAAAAGAAAAAAGAAATACGTATGAAAATTTACTCTTTTTTCTGCCATGGACTAACCAACTATACAACAAAAACGTTACTACATAGTACAAACATGGGAAACACCTTCTGTTTACAGTAATCAATGACAAATGTTACAAGCTACAAGGTCTCCCAGTCCAGTGCCTGCACCGAGACGGCTCCTACACTTCTCACTTCTACCGTCTTCTATTTCTCATTTATAAAGAAAGAATGGACCAGAGTTTTTTTAATATAGTTTGAGCTTTCAGAGTTAAGATTGAATAAAGCTCAACTTCGGAGCACAAGGCAAGCTGGGGAAAACCAAGAAAGATTTTAGGGGTATTTACATTTAGAAACTCAAATAAGTCTCCTTGGGGATCCACCGGGTGTGTGGGCTTTGTGCATAGGTATTTCATGCCAAGGATCAAGAGTAAACTTGGCATTTGATCTCATTGGATATGATTCATATGAAGCAAGGGTATGATGTCCCATCATTGAATAATTTGGATGTGGAGGAGAAAGGAAACAGCTCTTGTGTGCCGGACCGGACTGTCGCAATGGACTTGAACACGGAGATACTGGTAAGGATGTGATCATTCTTGTGTTGTCTCTGAATAAGGAAATTATAAACAGCAAGTCAGTCTAAATAACATAAAAATAAAATAAAAAATAAAAAACATGAAGCATATATAGAAAGGTATAGAAAACCAGGCTTCAATCATAAATAACTGCAAAAGGTCGGATATCTAACCTTGGGCTCCTTATTGCTCGGGAAGCTGCAACAACTGGTTTTGTTGTATGTTCTGCTTCGTGAGAAGCAATACAAGTTCTATTGGAATGAAGATCTGAAGCTGGCTGCAAAATAAATCAAGGAAAGAGAAAGTTAGCTCCAGACCAAGACTGACCACAAAATTGATTTCCAGAAAAATATGTAACTTTATAAGTTTATATAAATCAGTGATAGGGATGAGCGTTAGAATCGCAACTTCAAATGATATGGTATTTTGGGTTCAAGTTCTACTCCAATGTAGAATAATTTAGTAGCATGAAGTCCCCTATATAAATTTGTGTACTCGGCTTTTACCTAAAAAAACAAAGCTATATGCTCTACAAGTACAATAGATAAAATTCTGACATGGTATTATAACCCCCCTGGATGGTTAAAAATTCAGTATTCTATCATTAAGTTATTATGTATTTGATGTTATCTAGTAATGTATCACCTTAAACTAGGGACCCAACTAAATTTAAAAAATGGTTGCAGCATATTATCTTTCAGAGAACGGAACATCTTTATAATGATTATGTGACCAACTTAGTGATATGTGGAACTAGTTTGTAAGATGCCAATGAAACAAAACTTCACTGAGAAAATAAATAAGAATTGAACACCGTACCGGCGTCCGGCTTCCATCAAACATGTAGGGAAAAGCATCCTTGGTAATTCTGACATTTGCAGTTTTTGTTGCTGACTCATCTCGAATAAAAGGGTGATTAAGTAACATATGGGCTGTAGGGCGAGTTGCAGGATCTCTATGCAAGCATAGCTTGATGAAATTCTTTGCATCATTTGAGAGATGATCAGGAATTTCAGGCATGTCTTTGCTGTTGCCAATTTTAAATATTGCAGCTACCTGTTGAATCCAACATTGAAAAAAAGTGTTGGCCCTTCATATTTTACAAACAGGATCACAAGTCACAACAAATATGTAAATGAATGCTAGTTCAAAATAGCCAATAACGTACCCCTTCATACTGACTCCAAGGAGGCTTTGATGTTGCCATTTCAAGAATTGTGCATCCCAAGCTCCATATATCAACTGGAAGACTATAGCCATTTGTATTCATTACAACCTAAGAAAGTTAACATAAGGATACGTTACTACTTACAGTGGAAGAGAAAGGAGTAGGGAGAAAAAAATCAAGATCTGAAACGAAGGGGAAAACACTTTACCTCTGGCGCCATCCAATGTGGACTTCCTTTGAAAGAAAGCATTGAGGATGAAGAATTTATCTGGTCCAGAACAAGTCATAATTCAGAGATGATCTCCATAAATAAAAAAATCAACCAAACATAAATTATACTTTTTGAAGCCCTCTAAATTGTATTTTCTTTCTACCACATGCTTATGCCAATGCCATATAGTTAAGTAATAAAAAGATGGAACAGATATGAGAATGTGCAACGCTTGTGTAATAAACAGATATGTTCCAGATCTCCTCTCATTTTCTACGTTGGTGTTCACAATTCTGAGAGAGAAAGTACGTGCATTCAGAGAAGAGGAATGACTCCACCACCAGGCATTCAGATAAGTAAAATGGCAAATTTTATCAAATAGCAAAGGCAGTGTTAAGCATACACTCTCCACAAATTTTACAATGTCATTGTCTAATTATTCAGTACCAGAAACAACTACGAATTTTTCAAGTGAGACAGAGGAAATGCACTCTTTAAAGCATATGCATGATAAACTTACATGTTTAGCCATTCCAAAGTCTGCCAGCTTGATTTCACCATTAGGATCAACTAGTATGTTAGCCCCTTTGATATCCCTGAGAAGATAAAAACATGTAAATAATTAAAAAGATTCAAGAAGCACCAGTTTCAAGATACGAAAATCCAGAGACAATCTGCCTTGTATAATATGAATTGAAAAATCACCTATGCACTGTATTTCTCCCATGAAGATATGAAAGTCCAGAGACAATCTGCCTTGTATAATTTTGGATAACAGGCTCCTTGAAGGACCCATATTCCTGAAGTAATTTATGAATAGAACCTCCAGAAACGTATTCCAAATAAATGGAAAGTGTTTCTTCTCCCTGCAAGCATGAGAAATAAACATCTATAAAATAAAATGGATCACATTCATAATTTTCTAATTTCTCTTTCTATATGTTGTATATTACAGGATTAAACAACAGGAACATTCTAGCATACCAAATCACTTCCATAGTATTGAACAATGTTTGGATGTGAAAGCTGACTCAGCAAATTTATCTCCTGCAACAAATTGAAAACGTGGTATAGGTTTATTAGACCATCAAATGATGATGAGATTCACTAAAACAAACTCCGTTGCAACTGTGAAAAGAACTACAAAAGTGTTATAGTGATAGAATGCGGTGAAGCTTAGAGAGCATGAAGCGCAACTCTTCCGAAAAACAACAAAATTACCTGACTAAGTTGTTTGCGGCACTCTTTTGAGGTTTGATCATCACATACAGCCCTGACTTCTTTTATTGCACACAATTGTCCGCTTTCACTGCCAAAGTTGCAGGTTCGTAATACAAGCATTTTAGAGGTAGAATAAAGATAGGAAGCAGGATACATTTAGTTTCAGTGATATGTCAGTAATATGGACAAAATCAGATAGAATGCGCAGTCTGAAAGAAGGCTGATGATATCATTCTGTAAAACAGTTGTGCTCTAACATCAGAGTTTTGTTTCTGCCAACAACAATCGGCATTGTAATATGTGTATCGTTACAATCTACAACCCACCAGACTGAATATTAATTCTAAATATTTTGTGTATCGTAACAATTTAAAACCCACCAGACTGAAAAAACCAATTTTCCTTAAATATTCAGGAGGTGAAAAGTATACATGATAAAAGTTGTCGGGAGCTAATCCAAAACAGAATTGAAAGTAAATATACATCACTGGAAAAGGAGAAAAAAAATACCTATTGAATCCCAGGTAAACATGCCCAAATGTTCCCCGACCTAGAAGCTTTCCTTTCTTCCACCTGCTACGGTTAGTGGTACAATTTTCTGCTATTCCATTTGTTCTCGTGTTGTTGGGAAGAGCTGAAGATGGACTAGTCGGAGATCCTGGAGGAAGAGGCAACGGATGACACTCACTCCTTCCATCTTCTTGCCTTCCTGTAGGCGAGTCAAGACTCAAAACATGCAACCTTGGATGAAGAGGTGATGTTGGGCTGGTAGGTCCTCTTGACCCAGGTCCGGGGCTTTTAGACGTCACATTGAACTTTGTTTCACATTGTCCCCTAGCATAGAGAAATGACATTGATTAGTCTAGCAGCAGAATGAAGAGTACAAATTTAGTGCATAACTAAAAGCAAATATAGTAATGATTTCAATTAAGCACATAATAACACCTAATGGAGAGAGATCAAGGTTTAAAAGTAAAAAGTCACTTTATACGTTCAATCATAACACAAAACACAAAGCTTATTCAAAAATAGAAAACGAAAAATCAAATGGATCTAAAGGCAATTGATGAGTATAAGTTATAGCCAACCTAACGCTATTAATTTGAGAGTTAAAAGCTGAAGGATCATCACAAGAGCCATTGGAGCTAACGCTAGAGCCAGAAACAGAAGCAGATCCAAAAGTAATTCCCTGATCATTGCTCAAGCTTTGTGTAGAAGAAACAGAAGGACGAGGCAGAGGAAGGCCTATCCTGTCACCGGCGTCGGAATCCCAAAAAGAAGAAGAGCCGGCAGCGGTGGTGGTTGAAGGAGTGAAATCTCTACTAGATCTGGGAGAATTTCTAAAATTAGAAGCATCTTCAAAACTCCTAGGGTTATCGGGTTTATAATAACCGTTTTTATAATTGGTAGCGTTTCTAATCGGAGACTTGTTAAAATTGAAATTAATGACACCGCCGCCAGCACCGCTACTTCCACCACTGCTGCTTCCGCCACGTGGCTCTTCTTGATGAAGAAGCTCCTTGGTCTTAGTTGATTTCTTACCCCACCACGTGGGCATTATAAAATAGGAAATTTGTTAAATTTGGAAATTGAGAGGAAGAAGAAGATGAAGAAAGTGGGTGGAGAAAGAGGAGACTAGATTTTTGTTCACACGAAGTATAATAAGAGAGGAATGGATGAATGAAGGAAGAAACGACGAAAGAATGGGTTTGGGAAGGGACGGCACACGGTGGTTGGATAAGTGACGTGGCAGATGCTCACACGTGCGGCTTTGTTTGTGTGTGATTATTATTATGCTACTCGGTTAAAAGTTTGTTGTTTGGTGCAGTTGGTTTGCTTGTTTGCCTGAAACTAGAAAGCCTGCTGTACACTGTGTAACGAGATTTAAAAGGATAAATTCTAAGAATCCACATTGGACATTGTGCAACTGCGTTACCGTGGAATATATTCTACTTCTAGCTTAGATAGGTGAAAATACTCGGATTCACTTATTTTTAATTAATCAAATTTACTTATTACTTTTTGTTTATTTCTCTTTATGCAAAATAAAATTTAAAATAAAGTCAACTATTGACAATCATGCAAAATTTTAACATGTTAAAAACTCAATTACTAAAATATTTCTCCAAAAACCTACCACATTACCTTATTTGAAGCAATAATATTTCTTCCAAAATTCTAAGATAATATATAACCAAAAAAAATTGGAAAAAATGGACGGGAGATTAAACCAAGATCTGTTAAAGAAGAAATGAACTTAAAGAAAGACAAATTTAGTCTATTCTTTATAAAATCTGCCCTAAAAAAATAGGAATGTTAGTGTAGTTAGTGTAATTAGTAATCGTTAGATGTCAAAGATTCCGCACAATTATTTCTTTCTCTAAAAATATGAGAAGCAATAAAGAATATATTTTTAACCATATTAACACAATTTATCTATCTGGTACGAATTTTCCAAGGCACATGGAAAGGAAGAGAAAAAACACGAATCACGGCAAGAGAAACAGATTCTAACCAAATTTTGTTCCAGCTATTCTCATGGGCGAACTCAAGAGCTAGCATAACACCGGTGAGTTCGACAATGAGAGAGTTGGATATACAAATGAAACTAGCATAGGCCCCAAGAAACCTACCATTGAAATCTCTGGCAATACCACCACACGCAGAGGGACCAGAATTACCTGAGGCACAGTCACAGTTAATTTTGATCCAGTTCTGCGGAGGAGGCTTCCAAATAACTTCCACAATCTTTGGAGCACAAGTGGGTTTGGTATAGACTCTAAAGTTCTCCAGGACCACAAAATCTTAAATATTAAGAAAAGACGGAGTTTTGAAATTATTATCGTCCAACCCACAAACCGAAATAATATTGGCAATAGAGGAAGAGGAGGAAATACACACATTTTGGAATTTAAATTTGTTGCGAGCAAATCAAATGGCGTTGAGAAGATGAATAAACACAACATTGAAAATAAGTTTACACTGCTCCAACCAATTTCGCTTGCAAATCACCCAAATATCCTCCCAAACAGAAATCTGAGAATTAATATTCAACGCTTTCCGCAGCCAATTCCAAATAACTCTAGCAAAAGGGAACTCAAAGAAAAGGTGTAAAGATGTTTCCTCGGTCGCCGAACACAAACAACAAATGGACGGAAAAGCAAAAACGCTTAAGAATGTCGTCTGTAGGTATCTTATGGAGAAGCAATCTTCAAACCATAAATGATTTCAAAGGCGGAATATACTTAGACCAGACCCAGCAACACCAATCCAAACAAGCACCCGATTTTCTCTTGAAACTATAGGCCGCTTTAAGTTGTAAATCCCCCAAGGTAGTGTGATTCCAAATACGTTTATCAGGATGAAGATCGAATGGGATGTGGCAATTGAGAATTCTGACTTGAACCAAACTCCGAATAGTTCCAACAGCAGTCGAGAAATCTCAGAAATTTTGCATAATGAGGAAGCTAACCATTAAGTTCTCCTGCAGTGAAATATTACCCATCTCCAAGTAAAACGGATCCCCGCACCAAGCGTCTAGCCAAAAATTAATAGATTTACCATTCTCAAGCAACCAAGAAGAATTATCCCATATAACTAGAAACTCAACTCTAATACTAGACCAAAGCGAAGAGTGAATGTGATGCTTTATGAAATTATTTCCCCACATAACTCGACTTCTAACAAGAACTTCCCAGGCCTCATCAGAATTGAAAAACTCCCAAGCAAACTTTAACATTGACGCCGCATTGATATTAAGCAAAGAACGAATGTCAAGACCACCTTCGGGAATAGGCTTGCCGATTTTCTTCCAGGCCATTGTGATGGGTTTAACGTTCAAAACATTGCCACTCCAAATAAAGTTACGAGCAGCTTTCTCAATTTCTTCAACAATAATACCGACCACTCATAGACGGACATAGAATGAATGAGCATACTCTAGATAGAGGATTTGACCAATTCTACCCTCCCCGCAAAAGAAAGAAAATAGCATTTCCAAGATGTGAGCTTAAGGATAATCTTGTCAGCTATAGGAAGGAGAAATTTAGCTCTCGGCTTACCTTTGAAAATAGGGACATTGAGGTAAGTGGAGGTAGAAAGACCAACCTTGAATCCAGATAAATTCGAGAGAATGTTGAGACGATTTGTTGTCATAGCCCCACCAAAAAAAGAAGATTTATTACAGTTTACCACTTGACCATAGGCGACCGCATAAGATTTAAAAAACCGAAACCAGATTTTTAATATTGGCAATACTCCCTTTGCAGAAAATGAGGACATCATCCGCATATAAAATATGAGAAGGAAATTGAACATTTTTAGGTAATTTGATCAACCTCAAGCGAATCGAAAGTAACCATGCTGCTAATAAGTCTGCTAAGAATATCCTCCGCGAGACAGAAAATAAGGGGGAAAGAGGGTCACCTTGTCTGACACCCCTAGAGCATTTAAAGAAACTGTGAAGCGCTCCATTAATCGAAATAGAAATCCAAGAAGAATTCAATATACAGGAAATCCACTGACATAATCTATCGTTGAAACCAAATTTCTTCAAGACCTTGAGGAGAAAGTCCCATTGTAACGTGTTGAATGCCTTAGAAATATCCATTTTTAACGCCACATTACCACACCAAGAATTAGAGTCTAGAAGATTGAAATCCTCTGAAGCTAAAGTCAACAATCTTTAATGTTTCTTCAGTGAATGAACCCTCTTTGATCAGGAGAGACCAAAAGAGGTAAAATAGATGCAAGCCTGACCGTAATAATTTTTGAAATAATCTTGAACTTGAAATTAGAGAGAGCTATGGGCCGATAGAGATCCAAGGAACCCGCACTATCGGACTTAGGAATAAGCACTAGGAGATTCGAGTTGAAACCATGAAGTAACCAACCAAATGAGAAGAATTAAATGACCGCCTCCAAAACCTCAAGCTTAATAATGTCCCAATAGGTATGATATAAAGACGCTCTGAACCCGTTTGGACTAGGGGCGCTATCATTATTAAGAGAGAAGAAAGCAACTTTGATTTCCTTCAAAGAGGGAAGAGCAGTAAGCATCTCATTAGTCTCAACATTCACCAAGCTAGGAATAATTCCCTCCACCAAAACACCATCCTGCAAAAAATAGTCATTAGTAGAAAAAAGGTTTTTAAAATAATCCAATGTATGCAACGCAATGGAACTCAGATCCGTAATGATATCCTCCCTGTTTCTAAGAATAGAAATTGATTTGAAAGCATTACGAAATTTAGAAATACGATGGAAAAAATATGTATTGTGATCTCCTTCAAGGTGCCACTTAATCCTCGCTTTTTCTTTCCAAAAAATCACCTCAATGTCCATGGCAAGAGTAAGTCTATCTTGAGCCTCTTTCTCCAATTTGTTATAGTCACAGTTTGTCCCCAACTGATTATCCTAAATAGCATTAAGCTTTGCTTCCACCAATAAGACATTTTCTGTAATATTTCCAAAGCTGTGATGATTCTAGTTTTTAAGGTCCACCTTTAACCTTTGAAGCTTCTTGCCAAGCACCAAAATAGGGCAACCAGAAAAACGTTGCTTCCAACTATCCGCAATCATCCTTTTACAATTAGAATGCAGTGTCAAGGATTTAAGGAAGCGAAAATGAGAAGCGACCTTGAATGTAGAAATAGAGAAATCTAGGAGGATAGGATAGTGGTATGAACGTAACTTCGTAAGGGTACAACCAGAGGTTAACACAAAAATTTAACCAAGCCTGATTGGATATAACCCAATCTAACTGTATTTGAATAAAATAAGGATGATCCCTTTTGTTTGACCAGGTGAAGAACGCCCCCTTGGTAGGAACATGAAAAAAATGGTTAGAATCTGTCTACCTTTGAAAATCGCTTATCGGACCCAATGCAAGAGCGAGCCTACCGCTGTGCTCATGAGAACCTAAAATGGCATTGAAATCACCTAAGAAAGTCCAAGGAATAGGGTGAGAAGCCTGAAGATTTCCAAGATCAGCCCACAACTCTTTTCTCTTATACAAGTTGTTAGAAGCATAAACAGCTGCAGAAGCTAACCTCTTATTGTCCAACATAAAAGTGAAGGCCACGAATTGATCAGAAATAGCAAAAATAATAGGATCAATGCCCATCAGACTTAAACACCAAAGATAAGGCAAAGGAGATTTATTGACATCAAAGAGCTTAAAACCTAATCGATGAAACCAATTAACAGAGAGCTTGTCAAAATTAGTTTTAGGTTCCACAATGAAAAGGAAATTAGGGTTATGAAGACGAAGTAACCATTTAAGAGTTAATCTTAAAGGGGGGATTAGTGATTCCCCTAATGTTCCAATAGAGGCTCTTCATAAGGTAAGATTCTTGAGGCCTTCTTGGGACTTTGTGTCGTACTTCTGATTCGAGTTTGGATATTTTTGTTTCTTCTTGAGATTTCAAATTGCCTTGGAAAAACTTCCTCTACCACCATTATGAATTACTTCATGCGTTTCTTCAACTGCCTCTACATAAGCCAATGAATCCCATGAATTCTTGATAAAAATTTTATCCTCTAATTCCTCTTTAGAGA